AAAAAGCAAAAATTGAGTTACCAAAGTAAAAATAAACCAAAAATTAAAACCAAAAAAATTAAAAATCTCCCCTCAATTGCCGCCTGATGTTATGCCCCCACCACCGTTACTCGATACACTATCTGGTACCGTTCATGGTCGTGCCGCCAGCAGTGGATCTCGACGTTAATCCTGATTCACCTTCTTTCAATTGACAAATTTGAAATGTTTTCTCTTCTTTCTCCCCACGATTTTTGTTTTTGATGTCTTTTGCTTCGTCCTATATTTCTAATCTTCAAACAATATTTTAATTTGTTCACTTTAGATAATTATGGTTATCAATGATTAATGCAAATGTTATTTCAGTATCATTAGTACAATAAATTATTTTCCATATTAATATATTGTTTCTCATCCCAATTAAAGAAAATGCATACCAGGAATTTCACTTTAGATATTATGCTTCGTCCAGCCGGGTGCGCGGAAACGCAAGGAGTCCGAAGGTGCTCTCGGATTTTGGTGGGTAGTCGTGAATCTTCAGAAAATTAAAGTAGAAGACCAGATTTGATCAGAATTTTTTGGATCAAAGAACTTTGACCGGAGAAATTGAAAGGCATTACCGGTAGAATTTCTAACAAAAATTTTAAGATGCAAACAAGAACGAGAAGAGCTTCAAGAAAATATAATTTTTTTTTCGATCGGATGTGATCGGTTGGCGACCGGTGGACGGCGATCAACGATAGCAGCCTGTGGAGGCATCAGTTGACCTGATGTGTTGACCGGTGGACGGCGATCAACGAATTTTTTTTCGTTAACTGTGGGAATTTTATGATACAACTTCGTCTTAAGGAGAACGTAACTATTACGTGCCTCGACCTTGATTTTGCATTTGTTCCCTTCATTCTCCTTAAGACATCTTCTTGATATTCACAAACCACACAAACTACAATATGCATTAGGGGTGAGCATGGGTCGGTACGTTTCGGAGATTGACAAATATTTGGAAGCATACTGAAATTCGGAGATCGCTAAAGTTCGATCATCGGAACCGTACCCACAATCAGTTCGGTTCGATTCGATATTCAGGACTATCAGAACGGTTCGGTTCGGTATGGTTTGGTTCGGATATTTGGAGATTTCTAATTATTTTTAATTTTTTTAAACGACGACCTAGGTATATTTTAATTTTTATATATTTTTTAAACCCAACATTCATTAATACTTCATCATACTAAACATTTTATTTTAAATCAACTTTAGAAACAACTTGTCCAACTAATATTAAAAATTTAATATACAAACAAAATATAATATAATTATTTTAAATAATATTTCTTTAACCGTCCATACCATGTTAATTATAAGCTATAATAAGTACGTAGTAGATTTTAATAATTTTTTTGAAAAATATTTCTTTAACCTTTAATTCCATTTTATTTTTTTTTTTAAACAGCAAAAATTCAATTGTAAATCAAGATTACTAAACATGAAATTTAGGTGAAGCTTAATTGTTATTATTATATTTGATTTTCAGTTTAAAAATTTCCAAATTATATAGGAACAATGTTTTTTTTTTTTTTTT